AGGTGTTGCACGTTCGTGAGGGTCGTTTGGCCGGGGTTCTCCGATTCGGACAGGCCTGTGTGCCGAGGGCTACTTTCGGACAGTCCGGGATCGGATTAGGATTGCTGACGGACTGTCCTGGAACATATTTGGAAGTGTCTGAGACGTTCGGACAGCTTTTGGAACAGACCAAGGCGAGTTTTGGCGTCAAACTACACCATCCTTTGGGGTCTAGGTGCCCTAGATTATCCACTATAGGGTATTGGTCTAGAGCGCTGAGCGGAAGTAGAAGAACAAAAACGGAAGACGGAAAGGCGCCTGGGCCGTCCCCCTCTCCTCCACTGGGCGGAGTGGGGGAGCGCCCGGGGAGAAGTGGAGGCGGCAGGCGGGGAGTAGTGCGGGCGCCCTTCCATCTTCCGTTTTTGTTCTTCTACTTCCGCTCAGCGCTCTAGACCCATACCCTATTACGAAAAAGTTGATTTTGACAAAACAATCTCCCAAAATCTAAACTCTCAATGAATATCTTCATCGAATGTTGGAAGTTTCAAATCCATTATTATAGATTTAGAAGTTTCTGACAAATGCTGTTGGCATGGCAGAGGGCCCGAAAAGCTCCTGTTACCGTATATTCTCGTTAACTTCGTTAACTGGTCTCGGGTGTCAGCGGCGCAGGTCTAGGCATATGTAGGTGCGTCGCAGCGAAGCAGTGATTTGTGAGATATCGCGAAGCCTGTTACGCGAGACGTGGTCTAGCGTACATACATTAATAGTGATCTAAGAAACTTTTATCACCGCGTGGTGCTAAATCAACGCTTCATGTTCTTGTTATCTAAGAGCATGCTCACCTCTGATTGACGTTTTGTTTTGTTTTCCAGATAAAAGCGACCATAGCATCGTGGGGCTCTGGTGGAGGTTGGAAGGACAACGCATACGTCGTAAAAATGGACAAAGTTTGTTCAAATTTTAGAACTCACATTCCGAATTTGTGGCATCAACTGGGCAGAGATGCATATAACGACCCAAATGTGAAATGTCCTTTACCGTTGGTATTGGCATAAATGTTATTTGCCCCAATTTATGTTAAGACTTTATTACAGCCATATTCATTAAGAAGGGTGTTTTTCATCCGCAGGGTCCAGCAGTGTTTAAAAACATCACGGCTGATTTTGGCTTTACCCCAATTCCTTCGTTTTATTACGGAAAATACCGCATCACACTTCTTGTTGCAAAAACAATCAATAGCGAAACTGTGGCCTGTCTGCGAGTCTTCGGTGAAACAGTACCCAAGGTATAGGCACAAGATAAACCAGTCAGTGGTCAAAAAATTGTTCCGTCTCTTCCATGTACGCTTTGGCGTTTTGGCGTTTGTTTTGTGTTAGATATTTTTTAATTTATTTACCTACATTCTAAACAAAGCACTGAAATATCTATGATATCTTGAGCTGCTTGGAAATACAGTGAAGAGGTTGCAAGGTAATCCTGTTATAAAACAAGGATGTGGCATATCACGAAGGATGAGGAATTACTAGCTGCCGCTATGAAAGAACCTGAAAGTAATAATTAAAGCTTTATTTGCTTGTATGTCCGTATGTATGTTGGACAATACCCCATTTTTTGGAACGAGGTGAAAGTTTCTGCAGTATACTTGGAGCGCTTTAAAAATTGCCCGTATAAGGCCAATTTTTAGAGGGTCGTTTGCAGGCAGGTGAGGGCCAAGAGTATTGTTTTACTTCACGATCTGAATCGAGTTGACGTTTGAAATCACATTCCTACATTATTAGTAAGGGTACCTCTGGGTTGCGGGGCGGGTCTCTGGCACCTTTAAGTTGCGGGCATGGGTGAGGGGTCCCCCTCGAGGCGGGGGGATGGGTGGAGTGAGGGGGGGGGGGTTATTCGCTATTCCGTTCAGGGATATTGGATGCGCCCGTGCGAGAGCCTGACACATCCTCCGAGCGGCGCAACCTCGGAGCGGCGTAAGTGCAGCTCGCTGCTCCTTAATCCTCTGGTGCCTTGAAGTTTCGAGCAGGGGGTGGGGGGTCCTCCGAGGCCGCGTCAAAATTCAAATGTGCGCCTGGCTCTGGTGGCGGGTTGTCGAACTACAAAAGGGAATGCCGAAGTGTTTTGCGCATACTCGGGTCTGCCGCTGGACCACCAGCCGGGTTCTCGCCAAAGCCTCCAACCCACAGTGCCATTCATTGAAAATACAATTTATACAGAGGTTGGAAGTCACAGACAGGTTTGAACATGCATGTGTAACATTCATGGCCAACTCTAATTTCTCTTCAACTCGTCACAAACCTCGCAAAACCATTCAGACGTCGCCGAGCCGCTCAGCCAATGAGCCTGCAGTTTGAATGGAGTCACCGACCCCGGGTCTCGTTAAAGGTGAGCACACGTGTTTAAATGCACCAACAGCAGTGCAAGTTGAAACAAGGAAGAACAAAGATGGACACGCCTTTCGCCAAGTCGCGCGACCCCACTATGGATGGAGGGTTAAATCCGAGGGGTCTACAGCTCGTATGGGCAATTCTAGAAAAATGCGGAAGTGAGGGTCAACTTTCACATTTGATCGTAGCGACCAGCTTGGGACGGTTTCGGGTAGCCAAAAGCCTGAATTTTTATGTTCTGCAAAGAAATCGGCTAATTTTTGATGCCTTTGGTCTATTTTCGGACCTTCAAACAGAGCGTTCGTATCACGTAACAGTTAAGCTTTCTTAGAGATGTCTGAAACGGGCATAGAAATGGGCTTTCCTGATGGAATTTTTTTGGTGTTGTTTTTGAATATTGTTCGGTAGACATTCTTGAACAAAT